CTATTACCTGAGACACTTGGGAAGGGGCCCAGGTGGCACAGCGCTCAAGCACTTGGTTGTACTGCCCGGTGGTGAGAATAATTTTTATTTGATAAAAATATTTTTTATTTTACTGAATAAACATGGGTCAGTGGGCTTGACAGGAAATGATATTTTGCTAACTGTCATCAGTTAACAATTTAAAGTGATTATGTTAATAATGTCCTCAAGCCAGATTGTACTGACTGGTGAAAGCGGATGGCTAAACAGAAACTTTTCCAAACCATGCTGTTGCTAGTTTATAATTTGCCCTCCTGGGAGTATTTACACTAGGGAAATTGGCAGGCACACAATTTGGGGATTTTTTTTATTCCCCCCCCCCCTTTTTTAGAGCCAATTTACCAACATGTCACTGGTCAGAGGCTCAAGTAAGTGGAGTCCCAGAATCTTCTGTTTCCTAAAGGGCAATCTTACAATCCAACTAAGTCAATTTGAAAAGAAAGAAAATCATTAAAAACAAAGCCTGTATAAACACTAATTTAGGGAGATCTGGTGGCTTAGTAATAAGTTGAGCTTCCTGAAGGCAGATGGTTTTAATCTATTGGTTTTTAATCTATCAGCTGCTCTGTGGAATAAAAATGAGCAGTCCCCTTCTGCGTGGTTTACAGCCTCTGAGAACCTGCTGGAAGGTTAACTGAGTATTGAGTCCAGCTCAACAGAACACAGACAACACCACCACCACTATAGTAGTTTTTCATCCTAGAAGCTCTCTCTCAAGGTTTATAATTGCTCGTTGCTAAAGGACTCTGCCCTTTTGTTTGGCTTCGAGTGTCAGAAAACAGGAGGACTTTGCCCCACATCCCATCCCAGGAATAGACTGTTGGACGTCATGTAGAAATTGAAGGCAGAACAATTATTTTAAAGACTCATATCAAACAAGAGAGTTTGTTTTTCAAATATTTAAATATAGGTCACAGGGTCTACAGTGATGCTCAGTGAAATGTTAATTCAGTTCAACGGAACTTGACAAACATGTACAAACAATAGGTGTTTGTTGAATTGAATGGAAATGTTAACATTTATCCTCCTGTGATACTGCTCTGCAAAAATCAGAAAGTATCCTTAGACTCTAAACTAAATTCCAGCCTGAGATGAATGCTGAATTGAACAGAAATACAATCATCAAATCTTTCTGCCTAGCCTTAGTTCAAGACACCTGTCGTTGAATTTCTTAGCAGCTTAAGCAATGAAATATTTCAGAGGTTCCACGCCGTTGGGATAGAATGAGAAAATGCAAAACAAAAGGCAATACAGCTTCTTGGACTTCCAGTTTAATGGATAGCTATGAATATTTATGGTAGATGGATTTTTTTCATGACAGGGTAGTTATCACCCCACTTCTTAAAAAAGGCAATTCTGCCCTTCTTTTAATAAAAGCATGTCGCTCACCTGTTCCAAAGGAAGTATGAATACTTGGTAGTTGAGTGATAATCTCTTGTTTCTTTTAAGGAAAGCATGAAATTGTACAATTAGAGATCCATTTGTATGGTTATTTAATGTTCTCCTTTCAAATCAGCTTGTTCTGTGCTGTCCTGTCAAACTAGGAATCTTAATGACCCCATAAACAATAGCCCTGAAAACTGCCCTATCCTGAGCCAATCTCACCATCTCTGATACAGCTGACTCCATTTCCAGAGTCCCTGTGTCAATCCATCTCATCCAGGGTCGTCTTCTCCTACACTGAATCTCTACCCTTTGAAGCATGATGTCATCCTCTACGGACTGGTCTCTCCTGGCAAAATATTCAAAATATGTAAGATAGCTTTGCAAAATCCTTGCCTCCCAGGAGCAGCCTGGTTGCACCATTTCCAGGACAAACCTGTTTGCTCTCTTGAAAGTCCACAGTATGTTCAAGACTCTTCTCCAGCACCACCACTCAAAGGCATCAGTGCTTCTGCCATCCTTCGTCATTGTCCAGCTCTCGGATGCATAATAAGCAATTAAGAAGACATGACCTGGGGCAGGCATACCTTAGCCTCTAAACTGACATCTTGGCTACCACTCTAAGTATAATATTCTAGGGAAGCTAGTGGTATAGCACATTGCACTGCTATCCAAAAGATCAACAGTTCGAACCTTCAGTTGAGAGAAAGATGAGTTATCTACCTCCTCTCATAAAGATTTATAGCCTCAGGAACCCAATGGAGGGTCATGATGACTTGAAATCAGCTCTACTGCAGGCGATTCTGTTTGGAATTTCTATTCTATGGATTCATGGGAAACTCAGGTTACCTAGTAGTTAAGAACATGTGCTATCAATCCAAAGGCAGGTGGTTCAAATCCAAGGGGCAATTTCTTCTTGTGCATTTTACAGCTCTAAAAACCTCCTGGAGGATCACCAATGAATGGTCTAACCCCACAGCCCGAGTGAGTGATGGTGGAGCAGTGGTTAAGACACTCACCTGCTAAACCCAAATTCTGTGCTTCAAATCCTCCAGCCTGACTGCAGTCAGCTTCCATAAAGATTTACAGTCTCGGAAACCCATCAGGCAGCTCCTCTCTATCCCATAGAGTTGCTATCGATGGGAATCGACTTGAGGGCAACAGATTTTTGTTCTGTTTAGTCTTGCTTTTTAAGCTCACTGACATAGTTCCCAAAGGAACAAAAGATTCATGGTTCAGTGGTAGAATTCTTGCCTTTCATGTGGGCGACTCGGCTCAATTCCTGACCGATGAACCTCATACTCAGTTAGTGCTGACCCATCAGTGAAGGCTTCAGTGAGCCTCTCAAACCGAGAAGGACTAGCAAGAAAGGCCTGGCTCTGAAAAATCAGCCAATGAAAATCCTGTAGCTCACAGTCTAATCAGCAAAGGATCATGGGCCTGGCCCAGGACCGGACAGTGTACCGCTTTGCATGGGGTTGTCATGAACTGCGGCCAACTCAACAACAGGACGACATAGACCCCAGTGTCCAAAAGCTTCATGTAGATACTTTTCAGATTTTAGCAAGTGAATTGGGAAGAGGGAATGGAGGAGGAGAGACCATGTAAGGCAGGGATTGTGAGCGTTAGGGCTGGCAGTAGTCAGCCCGGGAAGAATATAATAACTAAAAGACATGCTGCTGGGAAAGGTTGAGGGTCCAAGAAAGAGAAGAAAACTCTCAACCACATGGATTGACACAGACGATATCAATGGGCTCAAGGATCTCGGAGATCATGAGAGCGGCCCGGGACAGGACAAGGTTCAGATCTGTTGTTCACCATGAGTTGTGGTCGACTCAAGGCACATAACACCAATAACGACCAAACTCGGGAAGAATGTACCATGTGTAGGACACTGTGATGAGTGTTTATAACGGTTTGTTTAATCCTCACAGTAAGTGCTTAAGTTGGATGTTACTGCTATCTTCTTTTCATTAGGGTGAAACTTAAGTACAGAGCGGTTTAGTGACGTTTCCAAGTCACATGACTTGTAGATGGCAGAGCTGGGCTTTGAACCCAGATTGTCTACACACCTCTACTGGCTACACTGAGAGAAGTTAGACAAAAAGAGGCAGGAACCGTCCGTGGGGCTCGGGAGAATCACACACTGCCGTCATTAGCTTTTTATTGCCCTCCGGGAGGCTTCTGATCATTCCATAGAAGCCAAGACTCTGGATATTTTTTAGGAAGCTTATTATTGCTGAAGATTTTAATGTCTGGATATTTTAAACAGCAGGAAAGACTGTGCATCGTAAGCCCAGCCAACTGCAAAGGAATGCATTTACAAACTGAATTAACCAGCTCCTATCAGACTCATTCTGCTCATGGTGACCCGTGTGTGTCATGTCAACGTACAAGTGTAGAATTGTGTAGGGTTTTTTCAGTGGCTAATTCTTTTTTCCAAAGGAGATCACTACACCTTCCCTCTGAGGCTCTTCTGAGTAGACGCAAATGTCTAGCGTTCTGGCCAGCAGCTGAGAGCACCACCATTGGCCCCACACAGCGTGGTCACCCCTTCTGCATCCATACATCACAGCTTATCAATACAGTTCTATTCAAGTGGCAGGCAAGTAGCCTGCCATCTGTATTTGAACAACCAACCCTTCTGATGCCTTTTAACTCATTACTGTTGAGTCAGAACAAACTCACAGCTCACCTTCTGGTGAGTTTTCAGAGTCTGTAAATAGCATAAGAAGAGATTGCCCATCTTACTTCAGGAAAGCAACTGGTGGATTCAAATATCCAGAGAGCTGCTGCCTTGGGGTCAACAGTGCTGCGTCCTCTGAGAGAGGCCTTCAGAGCTCCTTAATGTCTTTTAAAGTGATACCAATAGCTTTGTTTCCAGCACTCCCACAAGGCAAACCCACCCAGTGCTCCCCTGTTACTCCTTTATAACAGTCCCACATTCAATGCTCGCAGGTCTCTGAAGCCCCCCATGACTTCACGCACATCCAGAGATTTGGGCCTGGTGCTCAGTTCCCTTTTTGTTCATTAGGTCACAGTCAAATGCCACTTTGTTTAGCAGGTCTCTGCCACTGTCCCCACAAATGAACAAGGGACCCTCCCAAGGGCTCCCAGAATACTAGATGCCTCCTATTTCTAAAAGGAGTCATACCCTGTCCTGTCATTTATCTGCTTTTCACCTGGACGCATACCTCACTATACTAGGATCCTTGAAGCCACGAGACCAGCTTCTCAAGACAGACAAACTGTCTATAAATACCCAAGGCTTGACATGGGTGGTAGGGGCCGAAGGTAACATCTCATATACACTTTACACAATTTCTTAGCAAAAACTAAGCTTTCACGTCTTTTTTTTTCTTTTTCATTCACTGTGTGTTCATAGCTTCTAATATTTAATAAGTCCCGAGGAAATGTTTGTTGAATGAAAGTAGGAATGCACAAATAACAGAGACTTTGAAAGTGTTTCTTTCAATGAGGCTGTCTATTGTTCCAACTAAACAGTCCATAACAATAGCAACATCATAGACTTGTGTGAGCATGTGTACACACACACACACACACACAGAGGCAGGTACCTTGATAAAGCGAGAGCACGATTGACTCTTTCTTCAAGGCCTAATGTGCCCAAGGCCTTCCAGGTCATCCAGAACTTGAACGCATCTGGTCTTCTGCTACATTGGATAGACTTGTCTCCTGTGTCATAGCTGACGTCATAGAATTTATCCTGCTGGAAGAGGTAAGATGCTTTGGCAGAGTAGCATTTTTTAAGAAGATCCTTGTGGGGAAAAGAGAAATGAAAAAAAATTACAAATTTCTCCATTTCTGTAACACGCTTGATTCTGAAAATGCACACGAACTGTCTGATCTACTGCACTGTGTTGAGGATATATCTTACTCGGTGTCTACTTGGCATCAGGAAGTGATAGATTTATACTGAATTTGAGACATATATTATTCATTTTGTTTCCAAAGAAAGTCCTGAGTTGAGAGTCTTGGAATCCATTTCCACTATTTCACTTAGTATTGAGAAGATTTGAAGTCACTCTACAGCAACGATATATAACATCAAGGTAGGCCCACTTCTCAACAACGATAAATCGTCTAACAACCTAAGGCCCCACATGGATGGTGATAGGAGCAGTTATCATATTATGCAAACGTCATACAATTTCATACCAAGACCTAATCTTTCACAACCTCTGTTTTTCAACTTGTATTCACACTGAAAAGGGCAGGAGTGATAGTAACTCAGAGGTAAAACCTCAAGGAAAAATTATGAAAGACCTAAACTAGAACAACAAGTTTTCACCCCCATCAATCATCGGTTACCATTTCAAATAGCCTTTTGCATTAGGTCTCTTTGTTGGTTTTATTTGCAACTTCAAGTTGTAGTGCTGGGGAAAAGTCGTGAACATATCATGGACTGTCAAGGAAACAAATTAGTCTGTCTTGGAGAGTGTGAAACCAAGTGTCTTCTTGGAGGCTAGGATTTTGAAGCTCTGCCTCACATACTTTGGGCACATGGTCAGAAGAGACTGGTCCTTGGAGAAGGACATTATGCTCAGAAGGGTGGAGGGACAGCGTAGGTGAGGAAGACCCCAGATATGATGGATTGATACAGTATCTGGGACAATGGGGGATGGTGTGTCAGAATTAGTGAGACTGGCTCAGGACAGGGAAAGGTTCAGAGCTGCTCTACAAAGGGTCGTTATGCATTGCAGGCGACTCAACAGCACATAACAACAATAACATACTATGACAGATTTGGAAGCAGGAGTGGCATCCCCTTCCTAAACAACATGCCCCTTGAGCACTAGATCATGTCCCATTTTAATCTTTTCTCACATCGTGAGTTTTATCTTGTCTAATTTTTATTCTTACTAATTTGAGGGCATTTGGAAACTCATGTGGCCTTGGAAGGGTGAGTTGTTGGGTTATTTGTTTGTTTCTCTGTGCTGACTGGGGACTGGCTCTGGAGCGTTTTGTTGGAGGGAAGCCTCTTTTCAGCCAACGAGAGCCCAGGGTACAGGTCTGGGGTCTTTGAAAATTCATTCGAGCCCTCAGGCCTGGTTTTAATTGTCTTTGAGATGAACATTCTCCTAAGTGGTACAGCACTGTTCTGTCCTTTCTCTGTGCTGAGGTAACTTTGGATTTCTATGAAACCAGATGGTGTGCCGTAATGCCGTAATGGTTACACGTTGTTGACAATGTTTGGTAGAGATCACGGATTTAGACAGGATTGAGATCTACTTCCTAAACATGTCTGTGGAAACTCTATGAACTTAGCAGAAGGACACTAGGTCTTTTATTTATAGGGTTAGTACTAGGTAGCACTTAACAACAACATATAATGCCAAAGCCCTTGTCTCCGTTTTTTAGTTGGGTGAAGTGACTGGAGTCTGAAAGATGGTGCTCTTGTTTTGATCTGTGTGGATTGGTTGGTTATTTTTATTTAAGTCTCTGGTTTGGCATCAACAAGACCTCCTGGGGTGGGGGTGGGGTCTTATATTTAAAATTTGGGCCTCAGGGATATTTTAATCCCTTGTTACTACATTTTGGAGGAACATTCTTCTAAGTGATACAGCACTTTGGTCTATTTGGTGTGATGAGGTAATCTGGGTTTGCTGTGACATGGAATCACGTGTTATTGGGGTCTCAAACGCTGTAATGGAACAATTATGCCATAGTTGTGCCAAACACCACAATGGCTATTGATCACAGGCAGTGTTTGATGGAGCTCCCAGATTGATTCAAGATTGTTTCAAGTTTAGAAGCAGGAGTGGCATCCACTTTCTAAACCACATGCCTCTGGAAACTCTATGAACTTGGAGAAACAAGATACTTATAGAAAGGCTTCAGGCCTTTTGTTCGTTATCTCTATCTCTACCCTATCTCTAGTCTCTATATCTATCTATCATCTATCCATCTATTATCTATCTATCTATCTATCTATCTATCTATCTATCTATCTATCTATCTATCTAATCTCCCTTGTATTTAAAAGTCAGTTGGTCTAGTGTTCTTTTATTTTGGAGGAACATTCTTCTAAGTTGTACAGCACTCCTCTATCAATTTGCTGCACTGAGGTAATCTGAGTTTACTGTGATGCTGAACCCTGTGTGATTGGGGGTCAAATTCCATAATGGCTGCCCATGGTGGACAGTGTTTGGAGGAACTCCCAGATAAAGACAGGTTTGGAAGCAGACGTGGCCTCCACTTCCTAAACCACATGCCTGTGGAAATGCTATGAACTTGGAGAAACAACAATAATTATAGAAAGGCTTTAGGCTTTTTGTTCATTGGGTTGCAATGAGCCATGCAATGATTGTTCATCATCTTCCTGTGGAGTAGCTGGTGGGTTCAAACTGCCTGCCTTTGGGTTGGCGGTGCAACTCTTTACCCACTAGGCAAGCAGACCTCTGTGCCAGACTTCATTAAGGAGCGTAAAATTCCATTCATCAGTTTACACAATAATCTGTGTATAAAATAATAACGACAATGAGTCAGATTGAACTTGATGGCAACTATGTTTGGTTCAGTAAACCCTCAGACTGCCTCTGATGGGTATTCTTGATGGACAGCAAAGGAAAGGGTAAATTTCTCTGGACTGAACACCAAGGTAGAAAACACAGCTTCCTCTTAAACTTTCACCTTGATTCTTCCAGAAATCGTTCTACTCTGATCCCAGCTGTCGCCACTGCATCTCTCTACCCTCAGAGGTCAGAAAAATTGATTATTGTTTCCATAGCAACTGCAGCCCAGCCACATATTATAACATTGAAAGCCACCACATATATTTTAAGGACAAAGCACCCTTAAGCAATCACAACACAGACCACATATACACATACTTGTATTTGCATCATGATTATAAATATACTTTGATCAACCATGAGAGTTTTGGAGTTTGTTGTGGGGGTGTTTTTTTGTTTTTTTAAATCTCTTGAGCAAATGAACTTTGTATATGTTCTGGGCAAGTTTTACTGGCTTGTGCTGGTGATTGAAAGGAAGAGGAAAGTCATCCATCACCAGAGGACAAATTGCATCATCGCAGGCAAATGGCAAAGAGAGAGCCAAGAAAGCATGGGGCGGAATGAGTGATGGCCCCGCCTCAGTGCCACCGCTAATTCCCACGCACGGAGAAATCCTGCTGCCTTGGGAGGTTTCATAAGGAACAACTGGAGGCTTGGGATTGACTTTATCGAAAATAAATGAAAACGTTCCCCCCACAGTCGCTGCTTTGCATTTTAGTTTATATCCTTCTATTAAAATGGATGAGATGTCCTTTAGTTTTAAGCTACACATCAACTAAGAGAAAAATGCTCAGCTCTCTAGAGAAAAATGCCTTTTTGGAAAGAAGTATAGTCAAGTTAACATGGTTTGGGGCCAAAAAAAAAAAAAGAGAGAGTTATATCTATTCCTCACTTACTATCAGTTCTCCCACAGTTTGCCCAATGATGATGATGATGATGATGATAAACTATTGTTGATTATGCTGCTCATTAACAAGAAGCCAAGGTAAGGAGGGGACAGAGAGGAAGAGGAGGTTTGTAGGAAGCCTACCGTTTGGACAGAGGACCGGCACCAGGTCATGGGAAGAATTAGGCGGATGGGTGGGACACAGGAAGTGATGGTGACCAGGCTGCAAGCAGGCATCAGGAGTTAGGGCCCAGGAGTCACTTGGGGTGCCATAAGTCTCTTCCTTCCAAGTGGGAACTTCTACTGGCTGCAGTAACCTCTCCCAATCCCACCACCAAATCTCAGCTCTGGAGTCAGAGGAGCAGGAAGATGGAGAAGCCAAGTCCAAGGGTCAGTGCAGACATCAGCCACGCTGTGTGAATCCCAAGATTCACCAGGAATGCCTGGTGGACTGTCAGGGAGCCGGGCTAGTTCCAAAGACCAGCCAGCCCGGATTCTCATACAGTGGGGCCGTCTTGCACATGAAGACCCAGTCATTGGAAACTAATCATGTTGATAAGTGAAAAGTAGGTGTGGTTGCTATTAAGGTACTAAAGAGAAGAATCATGCTTTCTATTGCTCATCTTTATAACCTTAATCCTAGTAAAACAGGTAATATTGGTTATGAGAATTCCAAAGACAAGACTCTAATGAGAACAACAGTCTATGTTGGGATAGCAAGTCAAACCCTTCTCAGCAATTAGCAGCCATTGCACGAGGATCTTCACAGAGACATGGGAATTAAATGCAATTGGGGTAATTGAGGCACAAAGGGAAATTTTGTAGGCTCCTGTATTTGAGATATCTGGACATATATCAGCTTCAGGAAGTGCTAGATCCAGAAATTGGACTTGTATTTTCTTTTCTTCAATATTAGCTCCACTCCCAAAGTAGAAAGCTACTACTAACCCAATGGGAAGGAGACCTGGAACCTGGTACTGTCTGGTGGGACCTGTGCTCAGGGAGGGGGCGATCTGTTTGGAGGGTGAAGAGAGATGAGAGGCAGAGCGTCCCAGCAGCTTTCCCTTGTCTGAACGATCTGGCTAAATCCAGCAGGAAGCCATCTGTCAAAGCCTGGGGAGGATGGCGTTTCAGGGTTCTGGCCCTTTTCACAGAACATGGCAGGAATGACTTGGAGACCAGATTATGCAACAAGCAGGCACATGACAAAAAGTGGCAGGAGGACAAACCCCACACCTTCCTTCTCACTGACTGTACTCAGAACATCTAGCATAGAAGCCAGCATAGAGGGGAGCTCTGGTGGCCTAGTGGCAAGGAGTTGCAACTACAATCCCAGAGGCGCATGGTTCAAATCCA